ATTGTGGTTGGGGAGGGGGTGGGGGGGGGGGGGGGGGGGGGGGGGGGGCACAATCCAAACATACAAAATTCTGAATTGGACAGACAAGGCCAGACCTGCTAATGACAGTAATCACAGATAAATGAGGCCACAACCGGGGGGGAAAATGGCCAGGCCCTGTTCTAAATCAGGAGGTTATTTTACAGCCAGGCTCCCCGGAGTTGAAGCACAATCCTTTCCCTCCGTTAAGTAATAGATCAGATTTCTTCATTTTAGCTGAACTACCTGCAATCTTTTGTGTTCTGTTGAATGTGAACTGCAAAGTGGTACGGCTACATCTATCCAGAAGAACCAGCGTGTTCCACAAACACTTTACAGTGCAGGTCTTCCTCGTATTAAACAAACAGAAAAAAGAATACATGACATTAATTGCTATAATGGTGCGGTCTGTGACAGAAATGTGGCTAGCAGAATGACATCTCCTTTGCTGTTCACTCTTTCACGCCATCTGCAGACACCCAATGGTCGGTTTCCCCTTTTTTGGTCAGATAACGACCTATGGTTTCTTTTTTACTTAATAAAAAAGTCTCCTTTTCCCATACCATGACGACCTTTCATTGGCTAATTAAGGCAGGGTGCTTGTTTATTCATCATAGTTTGGCAAGTGGGGACACATTCAAATTTTAAAGGGTATTAAATTAAGCCAAAGGAAAGTTGAACTGGACAATTTAATGACAGACCCAGTTCACACTGGAATAAAAAAAAAAAGCTTAAAATTTAAAAATGTCAGTTTCTCATTTCCATCTCAGAAACATTTAAATTGAATTTGCTTGTCCAGAGCTACTGATTTAAAAATGCTGCTTATGGTATAGCAACCATCTGTCAATATTTCATCCCATAATCTGATGCAATGGCCTCCACAAATAACAGGCACAGCACAGCCCCCTCCGGCGACTCCCGGACATGGGGGGCGGCTGATGTAACCGCTACCTGCCAGCCGTCCAGACTGTGGACTGATCAACACGCGTAACAGCACTCTGCCAGAAACAGGCACTTAATAACCACATCCATCGGCATGGCTGCCAGGAGTGGATGGGGCTGTTTCGGGGCACTGGACGCCCCCCCCTGTCGGCATGTCATGTCACCCTGACGCTTTTATATATAGGGGCCTTGGCCATAAGGAGCTGGGTGCTGAGTCCGGCCACACAGCTCAGGTGAGCCAGGGACAGCAACCCGAGATGTTCAGCCTTGTTAAAATTTCACGTTTCTGCAATGAAGAAAAACAAATAAGAATTGGATGCAATGAAGAGGATGAAGAAAATCGTGGCTGTCAATGTGATTTTTCCTTTTCCCCCCCAAAAAGTTTTTTTGTTGGTTGCAATATTATAGCAGGGTTCTTGCAGGTTTCAGTAAGTTAAATTTAAGACCTTTTTAAGACATTTTAAGACCATTATGAGTAAAATTTAAGACCAACACGATGCATTACTAGAAACATTCGAATGGTACCAGAAATTCTCATATTTTATGTCACTCATATCCTTAACCCAAGATCCACATATCATATGTGTTTATAAAGTGCGTTTTAATAAGTTCACATGTGTTTAAAGTCTGGAATGTAACTTCCGCGATAGGCAGGGAATCCAGACCCATCAGCCATAGGTGAAAATCCGCGATATAGAAAGACCATATACATAAACTTTTTTTATAGTTTAAGCCTTAAAATATATAGTGATCCCGCGCCTATCGTGGAAGTTACGTTCCAGACCCATCAGCGATAATGAAAACAACTGGAAACAGCTGATAAACACGGGGAATCCACATGGGGTTAACGAGGGGGCGTGGCACACGTGAGGAGCGGACGAGCGGGGCAGGACATACTGCACTTTTAATCAGACTTTTTAGATTTTCCAAGCAATTTTTATTCAAATAAGTTTTTTTCCCCCCCATCTCTATTTTGCTTTTTTTTGTCTTGGTTTAACTTTTTTAAATCTTGTTTTTATAAAGCACATTAAATAACCCCTGTGTATGATAATAAAAACTTGCCTTGCCTTACCATAAGGAGACCGAGAAACGCTCTCCTCAAGACCACACGAACAACTAAAAACTATATGCTGGAAACTAAGACATTCACAAGGTAACTCCATGAAAAGCTCTGAAAAAGTAGAAATGTGCTTATTTTATAACGTGAGCCAACTGGATAGTAGTTGCCTTTTAACTGAAAAAATTCACTCCAGTCATTAGAGAAAAAAGTTACTAACGCACTACATCAAAACATTTACATTGCAATAATGTATGGAATGAAATAAACTTGTAACTATATCATTCAGTAATACAAATAAAACATACCGTTCACATTGGCCTCAAGAACTAAGCGCCTGATTCCCCTGCACTTCCTGTTGTGGCTGAGCGTGCACCTGACGTCAGTGGCTGAAAGTACACGTTCTGCAGCCAACAGA